TTGTCTCTCTCTCTCTCTCTCTCTCTCTCTCTCTCTCTCTCTCTCTCTCTCTCTCTCTCTCTCTCTCTCTCTCTCTCTTTCTCTCTCGCGAGACTCATTTTGAGCATTCGGTTCCTGATAGCTCCCCTCGTAGTCTTTTTCACGAAATCTCATTCCCCGTAGTCTCAGCAATTTTTTACGATAAAGTGAAGGCACACTAGAATGACATCTATATCGTATAAAAAAGAAATAGCTTTTACAAAGTTGATACAAAGTTCGACTGAATGACAAGTTTGAATATTTAAAAAAAAGACAAGATAAAATGTAAGCAATAATATGAAGCAATAATATAATAAGAAACGCGATCTTATTTATAAAAATTCATGTTATTTCTAAAGAGAATTGTCAAAATGTTAAGTAGAAAATCAGCCGATTATATTTATTGAATAATTATATTTATTAAATGAGGAATAATTATAATTAATTTTTTATTTACCATTATTATTTTCAAATAAAAATTCGTTAACATTAATCGTATGTTTGTATTAGCCTGTATTATTTTTAATTTTATTATTTTCATAATTATGAAATATGTGTGCGCGACAAAAGGAAGTAAATATATAAATGTAATTTGTAAATATATAAATGTAAAAGCTTGTTTCATATAATTTTATATTTATTTTTTATTTTTGGAAAATTCTCAAACATTAAAATGAAAATAACTTTAAAATGAAAATAAAGAAGTACTTATGAAACTAATACTTATGAATTTATAATGAGAATAATTAAGGATAAATGTCTCTATGCTCTTTATTGTTGATTTATCATCACTGCGGTGATTTTATTTCCTACTCACAAAGACTGCTATGGTATAGTTGCATCGCGAAACCTCGCATATTCAAACTAATCTCATTATCGTTAGTACCCGCCATTTTCATTTTCTAAACCCTCTCTTTGCTGCCTCACTCTCTTTCTTCGTATAATCACATATACGATTGCCATTCCCAAAAAACTTCTATATTAAAATAGAATTTAAATTTTTAAATCCTGTATCATTAAATATAACGTAGCATTTATGATATTTTACATTCGACTCAAAAATGATTAACACATTTTTAAAATTAACATCAAAAATTAATTTTGATACATTATTAAAACATAATACGGAAACATCCATTCATCTATTAAAAGCTTTTTTAAGATTTTGCAATATTAATTTTTATATGATATTTTTTATATCTTTATAATCTTTTATATCTTAATTTTTATATTTTTTATATTTTTATTTCATTTACTAAAAACCATATATAATATACAAATAGATTAATAATGTTTTTAATCAAATTGAAATTGAAAATAATGAATGTTTATAAATTAGAAAATAAATCGATGATTCGCAGATGATACGTACATGTATGACGAAGACGCGCGATGCGGAGGTGCAGGTAGCTTAGTTCCCGGACCAGGCGGTCAACATTGGTACGACGAACCACCTTACGAATCGGACCCAGAAGACTTTCTTATGGGAGCTAGTGGCGGTGCGGTACCAACCGCAACCATCCAAAATGGAAGGTAACGTTTCCACAATTTAAAATAAAAGCGTTCAGAATTACAAAAAAGAATACAGCTTTTTGGCTAATTACTATTAAATATGATCAAACATCAGGGTATGTTTCACGCTGAATATGAGGCCGGAAAATCGAGGAGAGGGTGTGATCTCTCTTCGAACAGCCGGCGATATCAGCTTGCCGCGCGATCGTTCCAGGAAAGGTGCAACGTCGACGATGCGAGGTCTCATCGTTCCTCAGGGTCACAATAATCCGCCGACGATTATACCTCTAACGCATTCAAGAGCTTCTCGTGAGAGCGGAGATTACGCGAGCAGCGACGTGCAGGTAAGTCCATCATCGTTGAGCGACAATCCGGACAACTATCGTGCATCACTTTGTAAATGTTGCGCTACAAACTATGTTGTCGTGCTCAAGCGAAAGTCCCTTTGTTGTTACAACCAAGTTATACCGTCGTACGCGCTCCAATATCTTAGGTGTGACGGAAACTTTATATTTGATAAATAGCCAGCCAGTGCCTTAAGTATAAAATCTCACGGAAATGTTTTTGCGATACGTTTTTCATATTCTGAGGTAGCGTGGCTAATTAGCCTTATCAAAGTAAAGTAAAGAAACGGCAATATGCTATCCGGCCTCATGATTACATCGCTCGAAATTACTGAATCACCGTACCCCAAGTAAGTCACGAATCTCGTTAAGTCGCGGGTAATATTATTGCGACGAGACATAATATCGAAGGACCGCATCCAGTCTGGATAAATCCCGTTAGATCGTAGCCGTCACTCCATAGCGGAATTACATTAAGTCACTGCGTTACGATAAGCGCACTATGCAGAGGATGCAGGTTCTGCTGGGTTCTCCCTTAGCCCTCGCCCAAGTTCAGTCTCTCCCTTGTGAGAAGCGCAGATCCGACCCGTTTGGATCCCATGGGCGTTCAATGGGGAGGAAGGGAAAGGTTTTGGCGTCTACCTTCTCGCGGGCGTACGTCACGGCGTGATTTATTTAATTTTGGGGCTGCAGAGTGTGAGCTCGAGACTGTCGACTGTGTCGGTGGACACGAGTAGGAGCGACCAGCCTCCGGTGGGCGGTCGCCACCCCGATCGGCCGGAGCATCACCATGAGCACCATCACAACCATCGCCATCATCACGAACATCACCACTCGGTCTCACCCCGACCCAATCAGCGTCACCCTGCCGCCACTAGCACGACCGTTACCAACACCGTCACCGACGCAACGTCACCGCAAAGCAACGCGCAACGCCGCCCGGTTCCCAGATATGTTCGTATCTGCCGAATCTATGGATGACGTAGTTCTCTGCCTGTTACCTCTCCCACCCAGGCCAGTCTCCATATTACTAACCCATCTGTGTGAGCTTCTTTAACGCGTGACGCACGCGTTCGGTCCACCTTACGCATGCCGGGCATTTTTGGAAACGAGACGGGAGAGTATGTCTCGGCAGATTAGATGCGGCAATCATCGGAGGATTCGCACACCGTATTTGTGAATATGGATTTTTCGTCCGATCTCCTTTTTTTCGCGTGTCAGATCGCGAGATTCTCTCGCGAAAGAAACGCGTTGTAGCGATAGCCGTACGTAACGACTGTTACATTTGAGGGAGATGCAGCCGTTCCCCGGTCAGTTTCCGGTGTGTTGCCTCGGTAAATCCGGGCGCCGAGAGCCACTCGATCTGTCCGTCGGACGGGCGGACAATGAGATTCCGCGATTTACGGATTTACGGATTTACGGATTGTTTGCGAGGAATCGGGCGCGACGGTCCGACGGTGCGGTGGTTGCGTTGCAATCACGTCGAATCTACCAGTCGTTTTCTCATCCGCCGAGCAAACGTTATTCTTCGTCGACTTTGTAAACTTGGTAACGATCGGATACCACTTTCGCGGAAGAGCCTCAGCATTTATCAACGTCATGTTTGGATTGCCGCGAAATGTGTGCTTTCTTTAATAATTCTTTTCTATTCTTTTTCATCGACTGATGTTTTTATATATTATGATAACAATATCACAATTTGTTATTTTAAAAATATAATAGAAGTGAATTGTAAATTAATCATCAAGATACTTGAAAAGGGAGATTATGAAAAATTATGTACGAAAATATCTAATTTTTTTTCATTTTTGATAAAGAGATTCTTGTCTCGACTATACAGCTCTGATAATATTATATAAGATAATAGAACGATGACAGAATAATCTCCGATAAAAATGACACATTCAAACATTTTGACGAAGCATGGCCCCGTTTGCGCTTTATACACATCTATATATTTGATTTATATCTTTACTGTAGTTCGATCGTGATAGTTGGGCGTGCAACATTATAATAATCGAGCTTGACATTTAAGCAAAAACTGGAGAATCTCATAATCTGATCAGAGCACCAGAATAAGGTGTCTCATTTCCTGCTCTGACGCCTACACAGCACTGACAGCCTCTATGTGTATAAATAATCACACACTGACACGCCAATATTAAGTATATCACTAACCCATCTAAACGGGCGTAGCCTGCATACGCTATTTATTTCTCATGTAACACGCAACCCCCCCCCCTTCTCCCCTATTAATATATCGAGTGTATAACGTGGTTAACGTGATGTGTAACACTTATATACTTACCCCCTGACTCATGTATATCTGCTGCTACTGTTTAATTTATCGTGCGAAAGTTATCTCGAAAGGAATATTAAATGCATTATATTATAAAAATATCGCATTTTAAATATCGCATTATTTCAAACTAACTTAATATACATTTCATAAATTATAAAATTAAAAATAGAATATTAATTATAAAATGAAAATATAATTTAAAATTATAGAACGAAAAATAGATAATAAAAATTTTTAGTACATATGAACAATATGATGTGCATATATTATTCTTGGAAAAATATTTTGAATTAAATAGTTGTATATATTTTTGAACCCAATGTTTCGTCGTTATCTCTGAAGACTGAACATTAATATCATAAAAATACTTTCGAGACGACCCTCGCGCTTGCACGTATACGGTATAATATATTTTTGACATTGGGTACTGTATCTTCATGCCTCTGTGTCTCTCACACCTGCTCTACCACCGGTGGTGGTCTCGTGTCTGACATTACCTAGCGATATGCCCTTAACCGTCGGCCTGTCAGCATCCGCGCGCTATTAGATCCATCATAGTGTGCCCGCTTCTCCTTTCGTATTTCGCTATTAGAACCGTCTCTGCGAGGTGTCAACATTTTAGAGTCGGAGTAGCGGCGAGGAGGGACTGTCGCCGAGCCAGAGTAGCGACTATGAGGATCAAGAAGAACTCGAGAGTCAACACTCGGCCGCCGTACATACAGTACGTACCGTATCAGAATAATCCTTGGAGAGAACGTGCAGATTCTATTTCTATTTTTTTTTTTTGCTCGCACTATTTCCTTCTCTTTGCCATTTCTACGCGTACTCAGATACATGGCGTCTTTAGTCACTATTATCACGGGTAGATACGGAGAGCGCGTCCAAACAGGACGATAACTAAGAAAAACATACCTGTGCACACGACTGTCACTGATGGGCGATTAGCAGAATCACGAAGTATTGCTTCCTTTCTTCGTTCTTTATTTTGTCATAAAAGAAAGACATCTTTCTGCACTTTGAGTATTTGCACTAAATAAATTAGAAGTAGTATGAAGTACTTTTCCTTCTGAATTTTGAAAAATAAATAAATAGTAAATTTTATTAAAATGTGATAAATATTTAAATTTAAAAATAATTTCTCTACCGTTATTAAGGTAATCAGGTAACTTAACGAAAAATTAATCAGAAAATTAGTTATATAAGAAAGTCTATATTAAATAAATAAATAGGTATTTACTGCAAAATTTTATCTCAATATTCGATTTAATCACGAGTATATTCATAGTGTTTAATATCAATAATGCAAGTTCATTGATCTTATCTAGCAACTAATTTGCGTTTGCATTAAGCCGCAGTTACGCCGTTAATTGTCTGTCAGGTCTGTAAGTACAGGCTTCGGTCATATGCCTCATAATGAGTACGTCTATCATTTGATAAACGCGCATTTATGACAACGACGTGTAATATACAATTTCCCGTTGAACATATTACTGCAACATCATTTTATTGCGATTATGTAAGCCAGTGGGAAATACAAATGTATATATAGAAGATCACGTCGTCCTAACAGATTGGATTGCATGGCAATTTACGCAAACGAAATTGGCGTACTCCGTCTTCATTCTTATTTCGAACGCACATTGATTTCCTCTGAGAATTTCACGCTCGCACCATTTACCTATTCCGCTTCATTAATGCAGTATGCTTTCGAGTAGTCTCAGTATTGCGAAAAATATCCAAGCACCTCCAGACGAAATTATACAATCGCAACACGTTAATTTATTTCACTGACAAGCTGAGTCAGTGTATAAATTCGAAAACGAGAATAATTTCCTGCTATTGAAAGATCCCACGATCATGTAAATGCATGCGCACAAGATAATGATAATGTCTCAAGTTTTTGTTCTTATTTCAGAAAACTCGAAGAGTTATGTGAAAATAAATTTTGAGAAAAGTAATAAGTAATTCGATAACAATCGTAACAAAGATAAATATGTACCAAACGAGAATGAACAGTTAAGTGATAGTAATTGCAATGTTTATATCGCGATCTACTGTTATTTAATGTAAGTAATTCCGTTCTCCAAGACTCGATCGGATAATATATTTTTCACGTCAGGCGATCGCTTCGCGCGCAACTCTCTATCGCGTCACATTCCAGGGCGTCATAAATGCATTATTGAAAACGGCTCGACCAATGGAGATTCCTATTTCACATAGCTCCTCGATTTAATTAACGCGCCACCGGCACGTCACCGCGCCTTTCCCGGTGCATTCGATGGAGCACGTATTCCGGGCACGGTGCGACCCCGATGTTCTCCAAAACTCAATTAAAATTTCCAGTCGGAGGCCAGCGCCCTGCTCGAGGGCGACGCCAGGGCGGGAATCGCAGGCCGCGCGAGGAATTTAAGGCACGACGTGCAGCGAAAGATTTCGAGGCTGCGCCAGGATCGCGCGTCCTCGGAGGCGTTTCCGTGCAGCGCGAGCAGCGTCGAGAGCCTGCCGAGCGGCAGCGGCTCGAGCACGCAGGCTCTAGTCCGTGCGGGAAGCAATCACAGTTCGATATCCTGCGAGGATAGGGACGCCGTCAGCCCGACGTCTATCGGCCCTGTCCTATGTCGAGCGAGGGCACTGGTGGACTACACCCCCAGTCCATACGACAAGGACGCCTTAAAGTTCAAGGTTCGTTCGTATCTCCCCTTCCAGTATTCAGCTATCAATCTACGATTAAAATTTCATATGAAACTCTATAAACAACTATTAATAACGTTAGCGTAATTCGTTGCAATCTGCAAACATAGTTTATATAAATCATATCTATACTTATATTGCTATTTGACGTTTTTAATTAATTCAAATGAAAGCTGTATTAAATTTTCCGTGTCATCCCTTTTTGCAATGGCTTGTGTTATATTTCAAATGGTTTACAGGGGAAATTGTTCGAACGATTTGATCGAACATATCATGACGATGTGGATAGGATTTCTCTTATGAATGTTCGTGTTGCAACATTGTTTCAGAAGGGGGACGTAATCGATGTGGTACAGATGAACAAGAGCGGACTGTGGAAGGGCGTTGTGCACAACAGGATAGGCCACTTCAAGTTCATAAACGTCGAGATACTGAACGACAGAGTACCTAGGAGGGGGGAACCAGAGCGGGGCAAGTGGGGTCAGAGATACAGGCAGAAGCCGGGTTCCGTTCAAGAGCTCTTGCAGAGAATGAATCTTCAGGTATAGAGAGAGAGAGAGAGAGAGAGAGAGAGAGAGGGGGGGGAAGGGAGTGAGAGAGAGCAATATCTCGCCGTGGCTCGAACAAACTGATTCGCATTTGCATGGCGTCGAATGCAAAGTAGAGAACTTGCTTTTATGTTTCTTTATTCGGTGTCCCTATCGCATTCCCCTTTCCCGTTCTCCTTCATCTCTTCTCTCACGTCCTCTCGCATCGCACCAGCTTTCCAGCTTATACCTTATACAACTTGCAGGTCCCGCAGACCGTGACGAGTCCTTTTTGTTCGACTCTCCCCCTTCCTATTCGTATCCTTTTCTCTCTCCGTTCTCCGCTTCTTGTCTCCGCCTTGCTCATTTTTATCCTCACTTGTTATACGTTTTAGTATTTCTCTTACCTCTTACCTCTTAATCGTTTATTCTCTTTTTGATTTATCTCTAACGCTGTATATTAAATATCCCAAAATTACATCGAATGTTCTTTCAATCATAAATATTAAAAATTAAATTAATAAAATGGGCTGTTATTTTTATATTAAAATATTAATAGTTGTGGAATTAAAAATCCTAAAAATTTAAATAATATAAGAGCTTTATTTTTAATTAGTTTTAATTTTATTTTACTTTTATTTTACCAGAAATTTATTTGAAATTTAATTGTATTAACATTTTGCATGTTGAAAAAGTTTACATACGATTATCATTTACGATTTTTCTTCTAAGTTTCTCTAAAAATTTTAAATTTATGATAACATTTATGATTAAATAATATCCAGTAATTCTCTTGATATAGTCTCGCGACAGATTAGACTCGATCGTGATTCACCGTCAAGAGGCGTGTCTCGCAAAGTCTCGAGAGTTGAAGATACGGAAGCGACAGGAAGGGATGGGACGAAATGATAGGGCGAGGAATCGCTGTACCGGAAACGTCGTTTCCGATTCAGGAAGCCGTGCCACTTAATTAAACCGCTATGATCGATCGTTTAATGAGCGTCGCAGATTCGTGTGCGCCTTTTCAATGTCTTGGTGTACACTTAATTGAAGCCCAAATGGCCCTCTGTGCGAATTATATCAACGGATAGTGATTTAAAGTATCTTTTTCCCGGTTGATTGCTCGAGACTCGTTAATCTCACGTAACTATACAGCCTGCCTGAAATGTTTGATCATTGAATATCTAAGAAGTCACGAGATACTTTAGATCCTTTGAAGCGAATGTCGCCATAATTATGATGTCCTTCCGTACCAAATTGAACTCGCTGAAGTCTTTCGTCTTATCTTTTGAATCTAGACTCATCGTATCTCGAGACACGCGTCTTGGAAAGAACACTTTTGATGCAGATTATTAAATAGGATTATTAAGTAGGAACTTTAATACAGTATTGATTAAATAAGAAAAAGATCACATTGCAAAATATAAAGAAAAAAACTTTCTATTGTTTTCTTCAAATTTATTCTTCATCTCTTTAACCAATGTATTATCTATACTCATATATCGCAAAGATATAACGTTTAGTTGAACGTCTTCCAATCAAAGTGTAAGAAATGTTGCTGAGAAGGGAATTCGTAAGCTTCTTAAAGATAATTTTATAAGAATTCCGTAAGCTTCTTCCAAGTATATAAACTGTGAGCGCATTTCATTGTACAACTGAACTATTCAAAGCTCTGTTAAGATGAAAGTAGCATCTCAAAGATGAATGTTACGCTCGCGCAGGAGCATATTCCAGTTTTTGTGCTGAACGGATACGAGGATCTGGAGCTCTTCAGGGAGTTAGAAGCGGCGGATCTGGACTATTTGCGTATACATCAACCCGAGCATCGTGCCAAGATACTCACTGCCGTGCAGCTCCTACACGATCTTCAGTGTAAGTGTACCGAACGTAACGGCTACATATGTATTATTCACGTCTCCCTAAAGCCCTTTTCATCATCGTTGCTATTTGTCTTGCTAGATATATCATGTGTTACAATTAATACTAGCTATACATCTTTAACATCGCTTTGTAATTTCATATAAATGAAACAGTTCTCACTATTATTACTTGTTACAAAAGAGATTAAGAGATTGAAGAGATTATTAACAATAACTTTAAATTGAAAAAAAAATACAGAATATAGAAAGAAGAAGCTTTGAAATGTTATTTAAACTCTTTTTCACATCTGTTTCTACTTGTTTTTCAAAAAATGAAGATATTTAAAGAGAAAACATTGTAGAAAGTGCATAGTAATATAAAAATATGTTTTTGCATATCTTGGATGTATATTTTTTTAAAATATTTTATTAAAATTATAAATTATCAATAACAGATTAATTGAATCTATTACAAAATCTCACGCACGCATGCGTTCTTTTCCCACCTGTTTTTACAGCGGGCAGCGAGGGTGATCTGGCCTCGAGTTCAGAGGGCGACGAGGTCAGTCGTCTGGTCTTAACCTCTGGCCAGACGTCCGGCCACTGTTCCCCGTTTAACCGACGTCAGTTCCCACGGGACTCTGGCTGCTATGATGCGCATAAGAATACAACCAGTCGACGAACTATCAGCCCGGAATCAACCACGACGTCATCGAAGCTATCAAGGGAAAACAATCTGGATGGCGCGACGGCTGTCACGAAAAACACCAGCAGTGTTGACGCGGACGGAGGTCTAACCGATGCGAAGGACAATTTTCATCCCAATATACCGATCTCCGGCTCGGTAACGAGCCAGAAAGAGGGCCAATTCGAAAAGTCGCCGTTACTGCGGGGTGGCAATGTGCGGTACATTGCAAAGAGGGGCAACTTTGGCGAAACGGTTGTCATCGAGGACGCCTGCGAGGGCGGTCAAAAGCTGGGCGGCATGGTCAAATACATGGTTGGTGGTACTAGCGATCTTGGTCTCGAGGGTACCGGCAATGTCACCGGTCTTAGCCAACGCGGTTGTCTCAGCGAGAAATCCAGCGACTCCGGCGTTAGCTCATCCAGTATTAGTTCGGCGCCTCCACCCAGAGACAAAGTACTCGCTACCGTCAGTACCACGTCGGACTCGCCGACCAAGAACTTTGGTAGTTTTAGCAGGGCATCGCCAACTTCTCAGAGTGGCAGTAAGAGTCAAAACGACGGCAGCTATCAATGAGAAAAGCATCAACGAATTGGTAGGCCGGTGAGTCGCGACGCAATTTTGAGCTTGAAGGTAAGAAGTACAGAAATGAAGGAATCGCGTAATTAACGGGAAACCGACACTGAAGCGGCCTTAGTTCGGATTATGGAGTACGAAAAAGATTATATGATTGCAATTGTCTACAGTGTCCGATTCATTCACGAGATATTTAGATAATATCGGGATCAACGAATATCTTGAGTATATACTTTATATTCAGCGAGAGATATAGCTCCCGAATCCGCGATCTTGACAAACGTACTTGGCGACGAGATGTTTCTTCTATTTCGGATAACTCGCAGAAGCAACGAAAATTGCTGACGATAGATAATAATTGATAGTCGCCATTGTGTCCACTCGTTGCGACGACTATCATCATAATCGCATCTCGATTTGAAATATCTCTCAAAGCAATATCTCTTTTGTTGTTGGCAAAGTACCGAGAGTCTTTCTTTGTTTGGTAATTCTTGTCTCGAGTGCGAATGGAAAATCTAATGTCTCTCAACATAATATCTCTTCGATATTAATGTCGGGGGGAACATTTTGTTATTTCGTGTCTTGGATATTTGGATGCGCGATGGGAAGAACTGAGAACAAGAATCCCGAAACGAGCGAAATTCCTGCAGTTGTAACAAGGACTCCCGGGAGCACCGGCGAAGTTTCTTCTTCGCGTTTACGTTCGCGTTTGGTCCGAGCGAGATGCATTTCGAATAGCTCTCGACATCTCGAGAAGATAACCAAGTCACATCGCGCCTGCGTATAAGCCATATAATTAATAATAAGCGAATATTATGTGATACAGTAGCAATATAACGATCGACTAAAGTCGAATAGATAGAGAAAAAAAAAAGAAACGACGACCAGCGATTGTCATTGTGCAAATTGTCGTCGAGATTCATTGCGTATAATAAATAAAAGAGAGAAAACGGAGAGAAAGGAGAGCACGAATGAAGATCTGATGTAACGTTATGCGTCCGTTAGTTTTGATTTCGCGGTCAGAGATTATCTGTCGGTTTCATCTTTGTCTGGGACGACCTCGCGATTAATCACTACAAATGCCACGCCCGACGAGCGTCCGTCAAAAACTGCCAGCGTTATCGAGTTCTTATCTCTCGTCTCTTGAACGACGATCTCTTATCTCGTATATTTTGGACTCGCTTTTTGTACGTTCGATCGATCCCGTCGCTAGAAGACGTAAACGTACACAAACGAGATAGTTACGGAATCGTCCCGAGACAAACTTTTCGCTTAATAGGGCACGCGAACTCGTGAGGATCCACATTACGCAGATAATACAGATTATCGGATCACGGGATGCCTTACGAGCGTTTTTTACTTACTTAGCTTATTTACACGAATTTTTAATAAAGTCCAATACCCGAATGTCGACTCGCGTGAGAAAACGTCTTTTACTTTCTACCATTCGCATATATAATTTTGTATGGAATAGCGAAAACACATGAAGTTTCCATGGAACGGCACCAATTATGCCGCACTCGGACTTTGCTTACTTATTAACGACCGACAATCCCCCATCGTCGATGTGACTCAGTCAGTTCTTCGACACGATGGTAAATCTGTACATGTGTGTATATTGACCACGCCATGGGAGGGAAACGTTGAAAGTTACAGAGATTTTGTATGTACATAGATATATCACGCGTAGGACTTAACGATGTTTTGTATTGACCTTGCCCGTTTGCCAAAACTTAAGACTATAGACTATATACATATGCGATATACACATTATATCGTACCGTTGGATCTTATGTACATCTCTTGTATAGTGTAAAATCATAGATGAATTTACGAGACGCGGGAGCGCAATCAGAAAATAGGCTACGAGAACAGGTACGGGAGAAGACGAGAAGCCCGATGGATAATAATAAATCGTAAGTAATAATTTTAGCTGTTACGAAATGCAGCGACAACTCGACGAGACGCATTAATAATTAAAATAGGAGAAAAAAAATGCGCGCCCCAAACGAATAATCGGAACAATATCGCGAATGGCATGCGAAAGCGATCAAGAGTTATCGCGATGTCATATTACGATAAAAACTAAAGTTACATATTAACAAATTAATTTGCAATATTAAAAAATTAATTAACAAATTAATTGTTGTTGAGAAAGTCTCCTAAAATGTAGTATTATTTACGACTTGGACCATCTTAAAGGATAAGAGGTAGCAATCGGCAAATATTAGATACATCTCTAGAGAAACATGAATGAATAAGCTATTTGGCGTGAAACGACATGTATTGGAAATGAGCCAACTAGCGATACTTCCAAATGAATTAAAATGATCGATGGCATGAGTTTGAAATTATGGAAGTTCCTAAGTTTCTATAGATGGAAGACTTTGCCGTTTATCGTATCTAAAATATGTTGTCGCGATAACAATTATGATTGAAAACGTCTCGTACGATACGTTTTTTACACAAGTATTACCATCCACATAACGTAGAGCGTGCTTCTTCTACAACATCACCACCGCTACGATCGCACCACGGTGAGCGAATTGGAGGAGGGACAATGAAGACCAGATCGGCCCGGAAATCGGGTGTGATTAGATCGAACGAGTAGTCGCAAGTTGCTTCCATCGACGTCGAGATTGATTAATGCGATTAACGCTCGATCGCGGCCGCAGCGTGCGATTTTCGTGCCGAGAACCGAAGTTTCGCAATATCGAGATTTACGTCGCGTCCCGCCCGCGCGTAAGCTCCATCAGCGAGCACTTTTTTTATCGAGTTTGTGCGATGATTCGACGATCCGAAAGAGAGGCGCCGGGAGGACGTATCCGATAAACGGTACGTCGATTTCGGTGATCTCTGCTAGTTTATCCGTTCCATCGAGAGTACCAACATGTGTAGAGAATGAGTGAAGTGGTTGTTATTAAAGGGAGGCTGAAACAGCGTGGAAGGAGATGAGAGGGATGATTGAAAATTGAGTATGCATGTGCGTGTATATGTGTGTACATGCATGAAAGCGAGAGAGAGAGAGAGAGAGAGAGAGAGAGAGAGAGAGAGAGAG